CATATTTTCTTAGTTATCTCCATTTTACAGAAGAGGAGGCTGAGCGGTTGTGTGCTTTGTTCGAGATCACAACGCTAGTGAGTGCTGGGCTAGGATTTCACCCAGACAGCGCTCTCTCTCCAAAGCCCGGAGCCTCATTTGTGACCCACTGCTGCCCTCTGCTGGGCATGTGGCAGCACTGCCCCGCTGTGCTGGGCATGTTTTCATCTGGGTCTCCCCAGTTTATGCCTCACGAGTGAGGGCTTGGGGTAGGAGGGGGAAGCATTTGGGGGGAGTTCTCATCTCAAAGCCACTGCAGAGCCCCTCAAATTGCACCAGTCAAAACTACATGTATTATTTTGCTATGAAGAACACCATTGGGATAACTGGTGCAATTTGAATAATGTTACATAACAGTACAAGAGCATCATATCTACAACTTTCAAACAATTCAGAAAAAGTGTGTGTGTGTGTGTGTAGAAAGAGAGATAATAAGCAAATATAGTAACATGTTAACATTTGGGGAATTTTGGTGACGTAGGGGATTCTTTTATTTTAAAACTTTATTGGAGAGCAATGCGTTTTTTGGGGGAACAGTGTGTTTTTCCAGGACCCATCAGCTCCAAGTCAAGTTGTTGTCCTTCAATCTTAGTTGTGGAGGGCGCAGCTCAGTTCCAAGTCCAGTCGCCATGTTCAATCTAGTTGCAAGGGGCACAGCCCACTATCCCATGCGGGAATCAAACCGGCAACCTTGTTGTTAAGAGCAAGCGCTTTAACCAACTGAGCCACCTGTCCACCCCTGGAATTCTTTATGCTGTGTTAAAACTTTTCTACAAGTCTGAAGTTATTTCAAATAAAAAGGTAAATAATAGCACCTTCAGGAAGCCACCCACCACAGCTCTCCTGGGATTTTCTGTAGTAACTGATGGAGTCCACAGGAGACTGCAAGTGTATTATCCACAGAACCCCCTCCTGGGCTCCTCTTTGTAATGCAAGCACCACAGCCATGGTAGGTAGGGAGCAGAGAAACCCTTGAGACAGCAGAGGGAAGAAGCTACCTCTTGGGCAGTAGCTACTAGGGGTCTTTGGTTCCCATTGGACCCCATGTGTGCCCCCATCAATGCACACACATATTCACAACTACAGACAATGATAGGGGACCCCCAAAAGGATAAACTTGTGTGTGTCCAGACACTGGCCAGCATAGTGATGGGGCTGGAAAGCATTTCTTGTGAGAAAGAGTGAAGGGAGTAAGATGGGGAGCTTGGAAAGAGAAGGCTGGGTGGCTGGGGGGTGGGGAGCTGGCTGGGGGCACAAGAGAAACATTATGTTTGTCAGGCAAAGAGCAACAAACTCGGGCTGTGAGATGCAAGAAGACAGAGGAGCACTGGGTGGAGGTGCTGGGACACAGTCACTCTGCGCCGCGGCTCCTGGTGTGGAACGTCATTGCGATGGTTATACCAGAAGGCTCACTCAGGACCCCTTGAGGCTCCGCCTGGGGCTGCTCCACAGACGGCAAGGACCACTTGTGGTGGGGGGTGGGGGGGTGCCACGGAGGGGGTGGACTCGCTGGAGGGATTTGCAACCACTGTTCTCAACCTTGGCTGCCCATTGGAATTACCGGCGAATTTTTTTTTAAAAGATTTTATTGGGGAATTGGGGGAGGGAACAGCATTGGGGAATTGAGGAAGGGGAACAGACAAGTTGCTGTCCTTTTGTTCTTCAGTCTAGTTGTGGAGGACGTCGCTTCACGGGCCCATGTTGGTTATTTTGATCATTGCGCTCTTCCCGGCTGAGGCAGATAAGTCACCGGCCATTGGATGGCCACTCACGGCGGCTCACGCTGTCTGCTGGCTGCTCACACTGGCTGCCGGCCCCTCACAGTAGCTTAGGACAGCCCACTGTAGCCCCACTCCAGCCTAGGCTGACACAGCAACTCACGGCAGCCCAGCTCCAGGTTGAGCTGTTGTTCACCATCTTAGCTATAGAGGGCGCAGCGTCACTGGCCCATGTGGGATCCAAACCGGCGGTCCTGCTGCTCAGAGCTCACACTCCCAAGCCAACTCTTTTTTTTTTAATTTAATTTAATTTTCTTAATTAGTTTCAGGTGTACAACACAGTGCACTAGTTATACTTTTTACCCCTCAAAGTGTCAACGCCCCCCAATCAGCCCCCCCACTCTCCCCCCCATATCATACATATCTATTACAATTCCATTGACTCCACTCCCACACTATACTCAGATTGCATAAATCTTTCGCCTTTTACCAAGCCAACTCTTAATCAACAAGCCACTCGGCTGGCCACCGGTGAATTTTTTTTAACATGCTGATGCCTGAGTCCCATCCCCAGAGATTCTGATGTGATTGGTCTCAGGTGCTGCCTGGGCATTGAGATTTTTTTAAGTTCCTCAGGTGATTCTAATGTGCAACCAAGGGTGAGAATCACTTGCTTGGAATGCATTCCTTGGAAGGCTCTTTGAATCTCAGAGAAATTGGGGCCATGTGGACAAGATTGGAGGGCCCATTTTTGCTGCAGGAATAACAATTTCATTGCCTTGGTCAAATAGAGATTAGAGAATTTCTCCTGAACGTAGTCTCCATCTGATGGAGGTTTCTTGTTAAAACTGAGAAGACATTAAGGAAAGTGGCCATCTGGTTTTATTCTATTTGAGAACTCCCTGGGTTTTGGTTGATTTGGGAACTGGCAATGTCCTTTGGTAAATATGGAGAGGTGATGGTTTTTAATTTAGTATATCACGGCCAGGCCATCGGTCCATTCTCTGGGGCTTTCCATCCCAACTGGCTATCCTCTGAATAACCAAATATAGAAGTTCTCTTGCTTTGTTTCCCTCTCCCACTTACCCCCAAGAGACCAAAAAGGTAACGGTATCCTTCCTCGTAGAGGACAGCAACATCATGGCTGTCCTTGAGTCTTCTTTGTTCCCATGTCATATGGAATCCTTCAGCAAATTCTACAATGTGACCGTTTCTCACCACACCACCCGAGCTGACCTGCCGTCCTGTCTTGTCTGGATTGTTGCTGTTCCCGTCTCCCTGTGTCCCCCCCTTGCCCCTCTGAAATCTCTTCTTAGCACAGCAGAGTGCGTCTTTAATGACAAACATCAGATCAAGTCACTCCTTGGCTCTAAACTCTCCAACAGCTTGTCATCTTGCTCAGAGTAAAAGCCAGTGGCCTCAGCCCTGCATAATTACCCACTCTCTCTGGGACATTTCACGCCACTGCCCCCTCCTTACTCGCCCTACTTCATCCACCATAGAAGTTCCTCAAAGACATCTGAGCCACCTGAAACCCCCTTCCCCACATCCTGCAGGTGTGTGTCCATTTGCCCAAACATCACCTTGGCAGCAAGGCCTTCCCTGATCGCCCTCAAGTTGCAACTGCTCCCCAGCAGCACTCCCTGCTCCCCTCTCCTGGCTACATTTTGTCCATCTGACACCGTTTTCACATGTTTGCCACTCTCTCCTGAAATGAGCTCCGTGATGACAGGGACTGTGTTGGCTGTTTGTTGCTTCTTTTCCGGTGTCCAGACAAGGATAAGCAGAGAGCAGAAACCCCACACGTGTTTGTTGAATGCACAGAGATCATCAAGGATCTGAGGTGGAAGGTAGCCAGATGCACATGGCTGCACGGTGCCACTGAATGGGGCCTCCTCAGAGTGAGCAGATGGGCCCCTTAGGCTTGGAAAAGAGCCTTCAGCAGGTGGACTGGAGACCGGGGCCCTCACCACTTCTCCACGCCCACGCAAGTCCTTGGCTCCTGGTGCAACAAAGGAGAGCTAGGCAGCCAGGGAAAATGACTAACGTTAGGTTTCTCAGCCTTGGAAACCCATGGCTTGGAGTCAGATTTTGTTGGATTTAGGAAAGTAAGTAAATGCAGTGTTTTTTGCACCTTGAGTGTTGGGAAGCAATTCATTCCAGAAGTCCCACCGTTAGGGTCCCTGTGGGTGAGAAAGGCAGAGGCCCCTGTCCAAAAGGCAAACAATCTGGAGGTCCCACTGGCCCAAAACATGTGGGACGGTGTCAGGGAGGGAGGGGCTAGAGGGCTGTCTCCTAAGACTTCAGGCTCGGGGCATCCTCCACCCTCCCTCCAGGGCCCCCTCGGTCCAGGAAAGCAGAGTCCTGAGGTGGGGAGCACATGGGCCTTCCCGGAGCAGGTGCTGCTGCTAATGGGACCGTAACCTGAGCAGGAGTTAGGCGGGCTGAGGGAAGCCGGGGAAGGCAGGGGAGAAGGAAGTCGGCAGAAGCAGCAGCATGTGGGAAGACCGGGAGACCAGAGCACCTGGAACACAGGGACGTGGACCCAGTGTGGCTGAAAGAGGACAGACCCCAAGTGCGGGGTCAGCTGGGAGGGCCTGGGGAACCTCATTAACAAGGCTGAACTTTGACCTAAGGCCGTGGGGAAGGCATGTAGCAGAGAAACCTCACCCACCTACAGGGTAAGGGGTGGGTTAGCAGAGGTGGCCAGGCTTCAGTCAGAATGAAGGTGGAAGGGGTCAGGCCTTGGTTACTGATGAGCTCACGCCTAGTGATGGGCTTCTGTAACAATGCAGGGAGGGGCGGGGTGGGGTTAAGAACACTGACTGGGGCAGGTGTAGGAAAAGGGCCACTTTGGGTTTGGTCATGCAAAGTCCCCATGAAGAAGCCTCGCAGAGCCATGGGGTTTGGGGACATGGCCCTGAAATTGTGGAGCTGAGTGTGGTAATCAGAGCTCTGAGAGTGGGTGAGAACACCCAGGAGAGGGTGCAGTGGTGGGAGGAGCCTTGAGCAGAATATCACCATCTAAGGGCCAGCTGGACAGGAGAAGAGATGCCCAAAAAGGCGGCTAAGGAGGAACAGCCAGGAAGCAGGAGCAAAGCGAGGAGAGCAGTTTGCAAAGGCCAAGGGCAGAGGGTGTCTCTAATCACCGGCAGCATCCTGGGAAGTGACGCTGGTGCCACACAGCCACGCGCCCATCTCACGCCCAGTGAGCAGTCCCCCCATCAGGAAGAACACGGGGTCGAGAATTTAATAGATGTTTATTTGTGTAATAGGAACATTCGGGTATATAAATAAGGTAAATACTTTCCAATATACAGTACATCATGTTCTGACACTGTGGCGAAAACAAATCTACATATATTGCCTAACACTGATCACACAGTGCAGAGGAAGGTCAGCTGTGGCACAGACACGTGGATCTGGTGAAACGCCAATCAGGTAAAGGGCGCAGCAGCTAGAAAATAGTCTTAACTCCCTTTCTAAGCAAGTGTTCCCTGGCACAGAGCCAGCAAACCCGGGACTTGAACCGAATGGAGGTAAGAAATAGGTGTTTTGGTAGTTGAGGACAGACAGTAATGTGGAAGCTATCAGCAAACAGTTTCACTTGGGACAGAATCAGCAGATGGCTAAACCCTCTGAGCACTACATCCAGGGAAAGCCCTCAGGAGGCTGCAAAGAGCTAGGCCTCGACCAGCGCGGGGGCACGGATGACCTGGGGATACCTTGTCCCCCGCCGGGAGTCTTTTTCTCTATAGATAAAAAGTTGCCTGGGTCCATTAGATGCAACAAGGAGTGGGGAAGCGTCAGGCCAGACACACATGAGTCCAAAAGCACGAGAGGACGAGTCCAGGAAGAGTCCGTCACGACAGCCGCTTACTAAACACCTCTACAGCCATGGTCTCCTGATTCATCATAACTTCATTCACTGATAAGGAGAGATCAGTAAACACAATCGGCCTTTGGGTCTGGTCTTCACTCCCCACTAACACCCAGGAAACAGTCCAAAGTCAAGCCAGTAGTTCTAAGCTCTTACTATTCCATCACCTTGAGAATGTCACAGGTCCTCGTCAACACCATTCCTTCAAAGTAAAGAACTCTCCACCATACACACAAACACAATCAGTCTCTCTCTCTCTCTCCCTCCCTCCCTCCCTGTCTTTCTCTCAACTCCATCTCTATCTGAAAAAAACAAATATTTTTCACTCCATCCAGTGCCTGCCTGTTCTCCCTTCATTCATGTGTGATCCGTTGCTAACCTAGAACCCAACAGAAACACCCCACATCATCCAGCCTCAGTGTCACCTGCTTCTATCCCATTGATACTATGAAGAAAGCATGAAACACAGGCCCTGTCAGGTTATGTTGTAAGGGTGTGGGCAGAGCTTTTAGGCTTTGTCTGTATTGACATCTGCTACAGAGATGGTTTCCCTTTTCCCTGCTCTTCCTGGCCCAAGATGTCCACGTGAATAGGGCACTGCCACCGGCTCCTGAGCTGTGTGCACAGAGCACAGCCTTTGGCCAGAGAGGAAAATGGGGTCCCGAGTCAGTCACTGAGAGACCCTCACTGCTCAGAGCTGAGGGACCACTTGGCAAGAGGAAAGGGTCCTTCCCTGTGGCGGGTCAGATTAGGGGGAGCAGGAAGTGGGCAACAGCTCAGGCAAACTATTCTGATTAAGTATGGAGAACTTCAGAATATCCTCACATACTCTTTCCTTTTGTCAAGCTGGCCTTCTAAATGAAGTGTGAAGCACCCAGGCACCGTAGGTGGGTGTGCAAGTTGGACTGCTTCTCTCAGAAGGGCAGTGTGATGGCTTCCCAGAACTTAAACACCCAGGCTGCGTGCAGGGCAGGTGGCAGTGTAGTGGCTGAGAACACAGTCTTGGGCATCACACCAACTTGGCTTCAAATAACCAGCTGAGCACAACAAAAATAACTACCGTTTATTGAGCACTTACTATGTGCCAGGCACTGTGCTAAATGCTTACGTGCATTATCTCATAAATTCCTCACAACAATCCCACAAGGGAGGTGCTGTTATCACACCCAATTGGACCAGAGTTGCATGTAGTAACCTGCCCAGACCTAGGGCTGTTTGAGCCCGACATCTACCTTCTTAACCAAGCACTTGGCCTGCCATGGTGCCTCCGTGCCCTCATCTATAAAATGGGAATAATAATACCTAATCAAAGGTTATATTCTGGATTCAAAGGGATAATGTATGTAAACCCTTAGCACTGTGCCTGGCACATATTAAGCGCTATTACTATTACTGCAATTATTGTTAATAAACATACTGCTGATAACTTATTGGCTCAAGAAAAAAAAGAAAGGAGCCTCAGTAGATAGGCATTTAGTGGAGGATGGTAGGAGAGAGGGAGGGATTTTCAAATAGCCAGTGGACTTGAAACCCACTGGCTAAAAAAATCTTAGATGTCACATGGTCTGCCCTCTATTCTCATCATTCATCCACATGTTCTAAAACCATCAGCACTCTAGCATCCAAAGTATACCTCCCAAACTGCCCTCACAGCTAAGGTTCCTTTGCCTTTGAAAACATGGTCTACATACAAACAAATGAAAGACTTACTCAAATAAAAGTCAGCCCCAGGTAAGAGCAACAGCTTCTACCCACCTTTGAGCCCAGGTGAGTAACCTGAGGCAGGGGTAGGAACAGAAAGATGGAGCCACTTTCAAATGATACAGGCAGTCAGCAGCTGGGACCCCACTACTCACCGAGAATGGGACCCACCTTCTGTAGAGGATGTGGGTGAGCAGAGTCCAGGACCAAGAGGAAGCGAGCCTAGAAGAGGCCTTTACATTAGGTTTTCATCACCACTTGGTCCAAACACCTACACCCTCTCTAGGTCACGCCACGGGGCCCCCAACCAACAAGGGAAACCAATCCAGGAAGTGGGAGCTTTTCCATCTCTTTAAAAAATGGAAGCTGGGCTACTGTGTGGAGGGTGGTCAGGGGAAAAGGAAGCTTGCTTTGACTAAGACACGGACAGAATACGAGGCCCTGCCAAGGTCAGCCCCTTTCTTGAAGGAGCTGATGGTTTGCTCCAGCTGCTCTTTCAGAGCCCCCGCTGTAGGCAGCACAGTGAGAGTCTGCCCAGGGTTTACTGTCTGGTGATGTGTCCACAGCGGTCACCTGGACATCCTCCTCTTAGCTTTTCTTCCCCGCCCTGACTTTGGAAGAACAGGGGCCCTGAGTCTAAGAGAAATTGCCCTTCCCACTCCAACCTTTTCTCAGCACATAATCACAAGATGGGCACAGATGTGAGTTACTCCAAACAACAAAAGGCAAGGTACTTAAAATGTCAGCAACACAGGAAGAAGTTTCAGCAATGACATATCACAGTTAGTAATGAAAATCGACTCCCATGGAAAGTGACCTTGGGTGGGCTTCTTAGGGAACAAGGCCACTGCTGTAGTTTTCTGAGCAGCGACACTCTTTGCCCTGAGTCATTCATATCCTTCCCTCGTCCCATCCCTGTCAACATCCAGGATGCCCCTGAGCCTGCTGGGGACTCACTAGCAGTCTGAATATCTAAACTTAAGAATCCATTTCAAATCAGCCTCCAGCCAACTCAGCAGCTAGCTTAGACTCAAATCACAGAATCTGCTTAGTCTCCCTTAAAATATATTTCTGGAATATTCTTGTAGAATATAAATCAGCTGATAGGATAAGAAACCCAGTGGGAAAAGATAAATACCATTAAAAAACAAAAAGAAATTTCATCTGTGTAATGTTAAAAGTTCCATTTCAACCCTTCTGAGACACTAGTTTCAAATCTATATTACAGAACTGTACAACACTAAGAGTCAATATGTTTTAAATATAGTTATACTACAGCTACTAAAATGCTCAGAACATGAAACAGGCCAAAACTAATAAACACAAATAAGGTCCAGGCTGCCTCAGAGGGGTTTACTCCCGGGAGTAAAAGGTAAGTCTGTACTTTGATGATGCTGAGAGCGGTTAAGGGGGTGGCATGCACACACAAAGGGGAAAGATTCAGGCCTGTGAGCAGTGACAAGCAGAACTCACCAGGGAGGATGCCCAGGCTCAGCCCTCTGCAGACACTCCCTGGTTTCTGTAACACCCTGGTTCATCAGCTCCTTTATGTCACTAGTTATGAGCTAACAGCAAGATCCAACCTGGTGTGCAGGTCAGGCCTCCTATGCTTGAGGGAAGGAATGCTGCAAAATTTCAGGTGCAGTCATGCCACTTTTGCCAAGGCAGGTGGGGCAGAGACGATTTAGTCCTTGCCCGGGTGGGCGGACAGCAAGATGGCGTCTCGACTTTGCCCCATGGCCCTGGGGAAGCTCCCTCCCTCTCTGGCCCTCAACTGCCTCACCAGCAAGCTGCTCATGACTCTCACTAGAGATACCTCGGAGGGCTGTAACAAAAAGTCAGGACGGTACAATATTCAGGAGTATAAAAACAAGTGGGAAACAGAAAGCCTTGCGTGCAAGTGAGAAACAGAATTCACAACAAGGGAGGGCACACAGTTTCAGTCACATTTTATTTCTCACACACACACAAAATGGGTCTGAACCAAGTTATGCCACGAAGATCTGCACAGGTATATGTTAAAATGCTCTCTTGAATCTCACCTGAAAAGTGAAGTATCTTCAATAAATGGAAGAAAAACATTGTGCGAAGTAGATACAAGGTGGCATTGCTCTCCTGACTACCCCACTAGGAAATCCCGTTGTTCACCAGAAAGAACGGGGGAAATCGGAGAAAGTAAAACCCACGCTGACCCTCTGGCCTTCTTGCTGGCGGCTCTGGTGAGCATCGAGCTTCAGCTCCCCAGAACCCCAAAACCCCGGGGTGCCCCATCAGCAACCACTTCCACAAAGGACTGTGCCAGGCACCCTGATCCCAAAGGCAGCCCTAAAGAGTGGCTCTCTGCTGCTGGGTCCCAGCTCACACTCCCTGCAACCAAGGACCTATACCACATGCCCACAATGGGGCGACATGAGACAAATGAGGTGCCCTCTGTCTCTGGTTTGGGAAACCAAGTTCACTCATCAGTGAGAAAACAGACTCATTATTAATCACGTCCATTGTTTAATTTGTTGCTGATAGACTGCCTCATCCTAAGGACAAGCATTTAGAAAAGGCCTGAAAGCACTTGCTTTTCGGTGCCCAGGACATGGCTCAATACCCACAGCAGCCTCTGGTGACATGAACTTGCTCAGCCAGAATCGTGGAATACTAGAATTAGAAGACAGCTCAGAAAACAAGGACCCAGAGAGTGATGCATCCTGCCTAGGGTCACACAGCCAGGACTGAAACCCCATGCAAAAAGACCACATTTTGTTGTGAAGGGGGACTTGAACCTGAAAAAGAAAAGCCATGGGCTAAAATGGAAGTAAAATTCAGAAGAAAGAAGCTGTTTCCATGCTGCGTGCTTGGGGAAGGCCATGCAGTGACTGTGAGCGGAAACGTTGAGCGGAGTCTGCCCTGCGCTGGACGCTTCAGTGATCTGGACAGTGTGAGCTTTCGGGGAGCCAGGAAGCCTAGTTTTAACAGAAACAAAACACACCAGCACCAGACCAAGGTGACGAAGCAAGCCATCACACCCTCATTTGGCAATGAGAACAACCGTGGCACAGAAAAGCTGAACACATTTGGGCACCAAGCTCTCTCCTGTACACTCTTCCCAAAGTCTACCTCACGCCTATAATTAGGAAGGGGGGGGGCGGGGGGAAGTATCACAGTTTTTGGTTTTTGTTTTGTTTTTTAAAAAAAAGGTCCCCCAGTGAAACACAAACTACATTTAACTGGTCACATTATATAAAAAGTGTGCATTTCATCTTCAGAATGGTCAAACCGCTAACTGGGTTGGATTTTCCAGGGTTTTAAGCAGGACTTTGTGGTTTCAGTGAAGAAGTCATGGTACAAGTGAAATCACTATACGAAATAAGTGATTTTTAAAACACATACACAATACACACTTGCCTTAAGAGTTATATATATACAACACAGCAGCTACATGGGTGGTTGGTCAGGCAAAGGGTGCACGTACAAGAAGCCCTCTGCTCCCTGCCTAATGGGAAAGCCCCCAGAAAGCATTCAGCGGCAACCAGCCTACAGCACAAACACGAACGCCATTGTCCCTGAAAAGACACAGGTAGCTGGGCTGACCTATAGGAGCCATCTGAGCCTAAACAGGTGGGAAAGGGCTCGGTTACAGTACATTCTACTGCATACACTTGAAATATTACAGTGTGGTGTTTTGCTTTTCCAGACTATTTTAAATAATGTCTTGTGCTTTCTGAAGCAAAAAACCCTGAAAGCTTCTTTCCCTCTGTGATGAAATAAGGTGAACCCATACCATAAAGCAGAGCTCATGTTTCACAGGATTTCATGTGGACAGAACGCCTATCTGATCCGTAAGCCTTTGTCCCTCCAGCCTGGAGAAGGCAACCCCCCCCGGAGCTCTTCGGCAGGGGTCCCAGAGCAGCTTGGGTGAAAGCTCTCCAGCGGCAAAGGCATCCAAGCCGTGCAGCTCTTCCCTGCTGGCGGGGAGGGAGAGCACAAAGACAAATATGGGGGGCCCTGAACTGGTTGGACACAGATGAACGGCCACTCTCTCTGATTGAGCCCAGAAACATTCAGCTGATGGGAGCTAGAAGCGCCAAGCAGCCACACCTGAGCTGGGCAACATTGTCTTCCTGGCTTTCAAAACATTTAAGAAACCCAAATTTTTACTCCATGACTTCATTCCAACTCTAAGCTGTAGTTTACTCACAACCCAAATCGTAAGCACATAGACTGTATGTACAAATTTTTAAAAAACCCACAGATACAAAACACTCTACAAAAAAAAAAAAGAGAGAGAGAGAGACAGTGAGTTGAACTGAAGCCTGTCATTGTCTAAGTCACGCCAGCGGGGCTTGCCTTGGAGCGCTGCCCCTCACTCGGTCCTGCTTGGGCTCTCCCGGCCCTGGGTAGCCCCTGCTAGTCCTCCGGGGCATCTATCAGCATCTCCTTGTCGGTCAGGTGAGACTTGAGCGTGTTGAAGATGTGGAGCTGCTGATCTGGCCTCAAGGTCATGAACTGCTGAATCAGCTTGCTTGGGTTCGGGCCCCTGGAAGGGAATGTGAAGAAACCGCACTGATGGGGGCCCAGCAACTTCTAGGGCCTGCTTATCCAAGTGGCTGCACCCACCCCTGTATTCCCTACTACTACCTAACGGAAGACAGAGGGGCCTCGGGGAATCCATAAATTGCAGCAACAGAAAACTGCATTCATATTTGTTTCCTACTGAAGCTGAGATGGAGCTAAAGTTCTAGAATTGCACCTTATTTAAAAGTCCACCAACTTGGTTCAGATGGAAAGGCACTGTACCTGATAAAACTGGCGATGTACACGTTGACAAAGGTGGCCATCAGATACTGACAGTCAAAGCGATCCATGATGCCTCCGTGGCCAGGAATGGTGTTGGCAAAATCCTATTAGAGGCAGGAGAAGGACTGGTGAGCCTGGGCTCTGCCAAGATCAAACCTGGCCTGCGGTCCCACCTCAGTGTCCAGCTACGTCCTGAGTAGCTGAGGGGAACGGGAAGTGAGAGGTAGGCACTGGCTCAAATGCTGAGGCTGTAATAGGACACAATCTTATTAAATTACAAAAGGTTGTTTTTGAAGAAAGATGTAAGATATGATGAACAAATAAACTGAAAATCCAACTACTGGATTGTTTTGGAAACGCTGTCTTTTTATTTAACCTACCTAAATTCTGAGCATGGGAGAAGGGCACACATTAAGAGCCTGGCATTTTGCAGGGGCGGTGGTTGATGGGGTGGGGCAGGGGGAGGAAGACAGAAGGTGGGTGAAGAGGGGCCTGGCTGGGAGACAGTGAGAGGAACAGAGAAGAGGGTTTCCCTACTTTGATTTTAAAGGCTCGTTTGAATCCACTTGCGAAGAACCCTCCAAAGGGGCCGATGAGCGAGGCAAAGGTGGACAGGGCAATGCTGTGAATCTGGAAGGGGTACATCCGGACGATTTTCTGAGAAGAACAAATGGAGTAAAAGTCAAGGTGCCTGCAGGCCCAGCCTTCCTATATGTCAACATAAATAACTCTGTATGCACTGACTATATTTCCCAAAAAAACCATAATTAGTAAGAAGACTGATTTTTTTTTTTTGAAATCGCTGTCTGGCTTAATAGAAGACATTAAGATACCCTGAACCCTAAACCTAACCCTGTCCCTAACCCGAAAACTAACCCTAATCCTGTCCTTAACCCTAACCCAAATCTAACCCTGTACCTAACACTAAACCTAACCCTGTCCCTAATCCTAAGCCTAACCCTAACCCTGTCTCTAAAAAAAAAGATATCCTGCATTCGATCTCTTGTGATATGTTGTTTTGGTTGCAGTATATGAAGAAAATCCAGCTTTACACAGATATATAGTCGAAAAAAGGAAGAATATTTTAGTACTATCTTTTCAGATAATTATAGGCATCCTTTGACACTACATCAGAACTTGATAAATGGTTGTTCCTTAAACATTTGGTGCAATATTGAATCTGAAATCCTACCAATGAACTTTTTGTACTCTTAAGTTAAAATCCATCATTCTATCTCGCACTTTGAATGGATCTTTTACCCATGCATGACTGTATAACACCATGCACTGGCCAGTTAGAAAATACTGGTTCCCTGAGTAATGTCACTCTTCCAAATGTAGACACATTTCGCTATATAATGTCAAAACATTATATATTAAAATCACCACAGATCTCATCAGAAAATCCTTTAAGTATTAGGAAGCTGTCAAGCTCATAACGGCAGGCACACACTTTGTAAAATTCTACTTTTCACTTGAAAGTCGTATTTTATCATTGGTTACAATTACTGTCAGTTGCTTCACTTGAAGTGACAGGCTCGCTTCATTCATTTTCAAGAAAAATGTCTGCCAAATATCCAAGTCTAAGACACTATAGTTCGTTGTTTCTTTTCAGGTAAAAATTATGCTTTTATGAAAAAGCAGCTAGTTCAGTTCATAAGTCAAACAAGTACCCACATGCTTTTACTTTAGGTAAGCAAGTACTTCAGTATTTAGCAGAAGTGTTATGCATACTTTCCATTTTGGTACTAAGAGTATTAGAAAAGTGTATATTTAACAGTCGAGATTTAATAAAATTAGTAATTTTATTATTTCACCAGAGCCACTCTTCGAGGAACCGACGAATGTTTCCAGTGAGGGTGTGGTGTGAAGAATCCAACAACTTAGTCGTTTGATGCCACTGCCCTCGCTCAAGCTAAGGTGCCCTCAGGTTTACCCACCACTGCTTCTGCACCAGCACAGCAAATGTCAACACAGTAAAAAAGGCAAATAATGTATTATTATGAAAACAGCTGTGACCTCATAGACCCTCTGAAAGGATCTCAGGGTCCTCCAGGGATCCCAAAAGCACACATTGAGAATGACTGGTCCTAACGATTTGATGTGGAGGAAAGGTCGCCTCCCACCCTCACCCTGAACTGACTTGAACAATTCTCCCTCATCCTGGGGCTCACAGCGTTGGGGAGAGAGGAAGGTAGTTTTTTTGAGGGGAGGCAGCGGTGGAGAGGGGGCTCTCTCTTTGTAGTCACTATCTCACTGAGGTTAGTTCGCCCCATGGGAGTGGTACATACCCAGCCAATGGCCGACTGGATCACCTCAGGAAGGTTGTACTCATGCAGGCGAAACAGGTCCGAGGGCTCACAGTCCACGGTGAAGCTGTTGGTGTCATTGTTGTACTCCACGGGGCAGACAAAGCATCTGTACCCAGACATCACGTAGGACAGCTGAGGAAGAAGAACAGAGGCAGGAAGGAGACAGGCAGCGGTGCTCAGCCTGCGGGTCGCGACCCCTTTGGGGGTCGAACGACCCTTTCACAGGGGTCGCCTAAGACCATCGGAAAACAAAAAGAT